CCCGGGTGGGTCTTGAACCCGCGGGCTCAGGCAATCCTCTCACCTCGGCCTCCCAAAGTGCTGGGATTACAGGCTGAGCCCCCGAGCCCGGCCGACATCTGCATTTTTAACCCACTCCCAGGCAACTGATACTGCTGATCTGAGAACCACACTGAGCAGCGAGGTACTAAGACACGCTCTAAATTAGGGCTCCGCTGAATACATTAGCCTTGACTTGGGCATTTGACCTTGCTGTCATCCTGAAGAAGGAACACAGACATCAGGACAGACTGCCTAAACCACCACCACCAACAACAAAAATCCCAAAGAGGCCCAGGTTTTGCACCATTTTGCTGTCTTGTTTATTTCAAGTTTACAGAGAAGCTTCAACATCTGTGGAAAAACACCAAAGGCTTACTTTTCTTTTAAGTTCATGAACTTTTTAGTGATAAATACACAGTATTTAACTTTGTACACCTGATAAAAGGAAAATGCATAGTAGAAAGAATCAGGAATAAAACAGAAGCATTGGGCATTAAATAAATCACGGAATAGAAAAGTCAGCAGTCCACGAAACTCAGCCCATAAAGCTGGATAGAAGACGGGAACCAACGACCCTGAAGCCTTCCCTAGCACCTTGGAAGCAAATGGAGGTCATGTTTCTTCCACTCAGCAACTCACGGCTCCCCTCTGGAAGATGAGAGAGAGCGACAGGCATTCTCCTCCTTGTCCCGGAAAGGCTCTGAGGACAGAAGCCCTGCCTCTCAGAAAGGCCAGACCAGTGGGGAGAGGCCCCTGCAGCCCCAAGTGCCAACAAGGGGCTCGATAAGGCTTTCTGGGAGCCACTGGCCACCTGTGGGATAGAAGGGGGAGGCGGAAAAGGGCAGAGAAGCAGAAGGTGGATGGAAGATTTGTGCTTGCTTCAAGGCCATGGGTGCAGGCCGCAGGTGGCTTACACCAAATTGGTCCTGCAGATGAGCCGGCAATGGAAGAAATCATGGGCGTCCTTTCTGCCCACCCAGAAGAGCTGCTCCTAACAGCCTCTTCTTCCCTCACAGAGCTGGCTTTCGAAAAATCAGTGTGTTCCCAAAGAGCAGTAGCTCTCATGCAGTGTTTACAGCCGTCTCGGCCTATCCTTTCCATGGGGAGCAGGTCCTTCCCACAGCTTTCTTTGGTGTTTCTTTGTGTTAAAAAAAAAAAAGTTA